ACAGTAAGTTCACAGGCGTGGAGATACTGCCATTCCCTGCGGATAGTTAAACTGCCGGACACGGTAGTCGTGATAGGTTATGCAGCCTTTCAGGGATGCTATTCCCTGCAGGTAGTCGAAATGCCAGGGTGTGTCGAGCTCGGTGTTCGAGTCTTCTCCGAGTGCTGTGCGTTGGAGCGTGTCGGAAACATCATAGACGGAGGTAGTTATCTTGCGATAGGAACTATCATCGGCCTGTGCCAAGCTAGCTCACCTCTCCCTCCCCAATGTGAGAGCCGTGGTGGATAGTACTACGTTAGCCACCCCACAGGCTGGAGTCCAGCAGGGGTGCTTCTTCGCAAGCGGCGTCCAACAGGTGGAACTCGGTGGAGATACATACCACATAGTAGGCCATCGGGCATTCGAGAGCTGTAAATTGCTCACTCAGGTGAACATTGCCAACACGGGAATTCATACCCTGCATATGCATACGTTCTCGCAATGCCACAGCTTGGACACAATCAGACTGCCATCCTGCCTTCGTGAAATCAGAGCAGAAGTCTTCGCAGGTTGTAAATCCTTGGCGAGCCTAACCCTCCCGAGCGGCATTCGCTATATAGGGTATAGAGCCTTTGGCAACTGTACTGAGCTCTCTTACCTAGGGTATGCTATGAATAAGTCAGAGGCATGGCGACATCCCTATGCCGCAAACAATGCCTTTGATGCGTGCGCTAAACTAGCCCCCTGCAATTGACCTGTTGCTATCCATCATTGCTCACATGTTTACAAGGGGGTGTCAAGCAACAACTACTGGAGTAGTGCGTGGCCAGAGTAGCAAGGACGGCTACCCAAGTAGCTGCCCCTCTGCATTGACAGGCTCAAACCCCCAGTAGTGAGTGCAGGTACCGCGCACAGTGCCGCGATGCATTGTGACATGGTGTCGCAAACGAGCTCACTGGTCACCAATGAACGCCAGTTGGTGTTGCAGCTATTGTTGACGACCCTCTCTGGAGAAGAACACCAGGTAATCATTGATCGCCAAGAGTTTGATCGACTCGACGAGTTCGAAACTGCTGTTCTTGAGCAGCTCCCGACCATAGGAGGAAGCAGCACCTTTGGGTGCGAGTTCACTTTCGATCAACGAGATACAGGTCAACTCCTGCGGAACCCTATCTGGGATACCCTCAGGGACTGCAACCACTTTCACCTAGTCGTCCGCCAATGCTGCTGTCGGGCAGAACACAAAGGGCAGGTAAAGAGGAATGCTAAAGCAATCCAAATACCGCCCACCCGCTCAGGGCAAGTGCTTCCCCATGCCTTTACACACATGATCGACGTGAGACACGTACAAGTTGACGCAGGGATACACACCATTGGTGAGGCAGCCTTGCAACACTGTAATGGGCTGCTGATAGTACACCTGCCCAGCTCATTAGTATGCCTGAAAGACGGCGCCTTCCGTCGATGTTATGTACTCCATACAGTCACTGCCCCTGAGTGCAGATATTTTGGGAGCTGGGTGTTTGAGGAGTGCCATGCGCTAGCGCATGTAGGAGACCAAAACAAAGCAGGCAATCAGCTTGCGCCGCAAGCGCGCTTCCACACCCGAGCCTTTGAAAAATGCCGCTCGCTGCAGACACTCAGTTTTGAAAGGACTGAATATGATCCGCGAGACCCAAATCGGGTCATACCAGAGGGTTGCTTCTCGGAGGCAGGACTAGAGGCCCTAACTCTACCAGCAGACTTCAGTTGGATGGGACCGGCTGCGTGCGAACACTGTGACAGGCTGCAGACAGTGGACATTTCACAGACCGACATCAGTGAAATCTTAGGGGGCACTTTCGCACGCTGCTCCCAGCTGCAACACCTCAAATTAGCCAAAACAGTGAGGCGCATTTGGCGAGACGCCTTCTTACGGTGCACATCCTTGGTAGAAATACATACCCCACCTGCCTTGCTATACATCAATAAGCGAGCCTTTGCAGGCTGCGCACAACTCTGCAAGCTCGTTAGGATGGGCAAGAAAGGAACTTGGAGAGGCACCTATGCAGAACACAATGCTTTCGAGATGTGCGCAAAACTGGCACTCCCGACATGGATTCGGCTTCTGCCCAAGCCCAACGATGACAAAGAAGAGTGGGCGGACTTCATGAGAAGTTGTGCAGAAGCCAATCTCAGGGCTGCCGCACGTCCGTAGCGAGTATGCTTAAGTGTCGGGGGAAGGGGATTCCCAGAGTAGCTTGGCCAATCGACTCAGAGCATGCTAGCAGATCAGCAGGGAGCTTATGTCTGCCACTTGAACTGCCGGCTTTGCCATCGCAACTGAGTAGATAGCCAGCTCCCTTGGCTGCCTCCCAAGAGGTGGTCAGGATGTGGTACAGTGTACAGTTCTCTAGTACTAGGAATAGCGGCGTTTGACTGTTTCACGTAGTTTATGGGGCTTGCATGCTTACCTAAACCCGGTGCACTCGTGTGACGAAGGGATGACGCAGAACCTGCAGTGGCTAGCTTACTGGGCCTTGCTTGCTTCAACTGTTGAGTGACATGCACATGTGAGGCTGCCGGTGTGTTGCGTCGTGCCGCGCCGAGAAGCTACAGCAGTTCCCGCTTGTCCTTTTGGAATTGCTGCTCTCGTGCACGCTCTCAACACCTCCCCCCTTCGGGGGGGGTGGGTGTCTTCGAAGCTGCGCCTCCATCTTTTCTCCAAGCCGCTGCTTGCCCACTGCAGGTCTCTTGCTATCTTTCGTTATTTTTCAATTCCGCACGCTCGTCCAACGATCCCACAGTGCCTTGCCCCCCTCAACCTGGGATTGGGGCTGAAACAACAGTGCTTGGTCAACCTTACAATTTGCAGTTTCCTGGAGAGTCTGAATTAGACGTGTCCCCAATGTCGTGAGGTCGTTTGCCTACCTCAACCTTCTCGCCCTGACGCAAACCCAACGTCAGTCAAAAACTCCAGCTAAGGCAATAGCAGGCCGGAATTTTGCACAGCAGACCGGAGGATCTTTCGTGACAGAGCAGGCCAATAAGGAGCAAACCAAAACTAGCATGGGCTATGTCGTACTCTTGGATAAAAGTTTCGACTTGCCTGACTCCGGAACTGGCTTGGAAAGTACCTCACACCTGCATCCAGGCTTGCCCACCGACGACCAAGCTGCCGCACAGTGATCGTTGCAATACTCGTTGCCCTACAAACAGGATGTTGCTATGTGATGGTCCTCCTGTACTGAGCGCAGCCTAAGCTTTGAATTCATGGCCCCGTTTCACACCTGTGTCTGATCTTCGGATCTTCACTTCTTTTCTCACATCTCGAGTAGATACGAGCCAGCTTCGGTTCGGGTTTGTCTGTCTGGGGGCTTGGTTTGTTTGTTTGTTTTGGGGTTTTGTGTTTCGTTGTCTGCCTCGTTTGTTCTGGCTCGTATCTTCTCTTCCGTCTTTTCGAATTCATCTATGGTGACTTGCGCCTTTCGGCACACATAGCGCCCCTACCCGTGCAAAAAAAAATTGCTCCAACTTTGTGAGACTCACTATGTCTTGGAGGGCCATGGACTTTGATGACCAAGGCAACCTTTTTGCTGAGGGCGAAGGAGAAGTGTCACCTATGATGGCTTTGCTCATGGGGCGGGTTGGCGCCAGACTGCAGCGCAAAAAAGAAGAAGACGCAGCAGCAGAAGCCGGCAAGAAAGAAAAAGAAAAGAAGGATCTGAAAGATTCTGAGGCTGCTTTGGGGGACTCACAGGTCATGGACTCAATGTCTTGAGTGGCACTGTTGGGGCAGCGTCTCCTTCAGGGGAATCCCAAAGCAGCTCGTCCCAGACCCAGCCCGAGACCCAGGGCAAGAAAAGGGCGACCAAGAAGAAGGACAAGAAGAAGTGACGATCTAGTCTTCAAGATCGATCGCAGCAGGTTTTTGATGGTTCAGCTCTTGGATACTACCTGACGAGCAGAGATACCGATGAGAGAAAACAAGTCAGCATCATGCGCATGGAATGCTATGTTGATGTAGTTTCAAGAAAGTTTCAAGGAAATTTCCTCACTTGGTTTCATGTACTTTGCATGCAGTTTAGATGTAGTTTACATGTAGTTTCGGTATATGTGTGAGGAAGTTTGGATAAGCACTCTTGCAGAACCTAGACGATTTACATTTTGCTCATGTCAAACTTCCTCAACATAACTTCAAAGTACTTAACAAACTTCCTCAACAGCAAAGGAAACTTCAAGGAAATTCCCTCTAAACTTCCTTGTAGGCAGGTGGAAGGTTCAAGGAAATTTCCTTGAAACTACATCAGCACACGGTGGATATCATCAAACTGTAAGTAAAGTCTGTCTACAAATACATGAGATGATGATCTAAAACTGCCTGCCTGTATCCAAAAAAGTCTCATAACTTAAGCAGTAAACATGTGCGTGAGACTGACTGACTTGAGAGTTGTCTACCTGATCTGGAAATACCTTCTGAACATTCATTGTTCGAGCCAGCTACCGTTTTGCTTTTACCGTGCCTCGATCTACCTTGCCTGGACTTCAAAGACAAGGATGCCTGCTTCCATGTCGACGATGAAGAAACCAGCAGCTGCTACAAAGAGGCCGGCAGCCCAGGGCTCGATCAATGAGACGATCTCCAAGATGGCCAAAGGAGTAAACCACTTAGGAATCAAGCCCGAAGGGGACGAGGCAGAGGATTCCGGTGATGGAGAGAATGAGGGCAGAGACAAAGCCAAGGGCCAAAAAGTACATGAAGATGAAGAACCAGCTGCCAGAACATGTGGTAGACCTGGTTGAGCGTGAGTCCAGCAAAGCTGCCTCACCCAGGCTTTTCAAGACTCAGATCATCAACAAGTTGTTTCGCAGGACCGCAAGTGGCCGGCTGGAGTTGAACCTGGACGATCCCTTGTTCAGTGAACACCAGAAACTGTACTCCAAGAAATTCTCGAAGGAAAAGGAGACAGCCCTTCCTGAGAAGGTGATGTGTGGGTTATACTTTGGTAACAGCGAGAATGCCATGAATGATGCCAAGCGGGATGGGAGCATCTACTCCGTTGAGGGTGAGGATAAAAGAAGAAGAACAAACTCTGGCCTCCAACAAGAAGGTCTCCAAAGAGCAAGCCAAGCTGCTCTCCGAGTGCTTCAACAATGTGCGCTGGACTTGGAACTACACTGTCAAGGATGTGAATGCCCTTGACAATGGTCGAAAGATCCCCCAGGCCATCCTCCAACTCGTCCGTCAGGCACAGGAGTCACAGAACAAGTTGGCTAAGGAGGCCATGGTGCTGATCAAAGGTTGGACAGAAGATGGCCATCAAGACCGGTTCATGAAGCTGAAGCGTGGACATGCAACCTGCACACAAAACCTCGCAAAGTTGGGTCACATGGTTGAGTTCAAAGAGTTGCCGGATGAGCTAGAGCCTACGAAGGCAAACTTGGACAAGTTGATGCAGGAGATGGCAATCCACACCCGAGACTACAATGAGTTGATCGAAACGACTCGTGGCATCGTGCGATCCAAGAAGAACTGAACTGTCCCTGAGCCCTTTGGGCTGCCAACTGTGATGAAAGGGTTGAGGCATTCCCCCTCGAATTACATCAAACAAAGCTAGTTTGGCAACGTGTTCTGTATTTCTCCTTTGGTACTTCATTTGGGGAAGCTTCGCAATTTTTGCCATGAGACTTTGGGAGGCTTGTTTGCCTGCCCTGATGAGCGCCAGTGATTTGCGTTCGAAAAAAACGTGGTAGATTGGGAGTATGGAACGTGTACTTCATGATTGTCTTGAAATTAGGATTGCAAAAAAACATTCAGAGGTCGACCTCTCATGGGTAGAACGCTCATGGGTAGTTCTCTCATGGGTAGAACGCTCATGGGTAGAACTCTCATGGGTAGAACTCTCCTGGGTAGACCTCTCATGGGTAGAAAGAGGTAGAACGCTCATGGCTCAGGGGTAGATCTCTCATGGGTAGGACTCTTATGGGTAGGACTCCCATGATTAGGCCTTGTGCATGGTTGGGTTTCGTTCCTGCAGTTTTTCCGGCCCCCAAACCCCATATGTTTGATATCAGTATCGCCAAACAAACTTATATACGTGTACCGTGTCTTACTGTTTGCCATGTCATGGTGTCAGGGTCCCATGAGTGAAAAAACAAGTGGGTCCACAACCACCTTGAGAGATCAACTGGAGGGATCATACCTTGAGAGTACACCTCTGAGAGACCGTACCCTGAGAGATGACCTGGAGAGACTAAAACTTAACAAAGAGACATGAGTTCTGCAGCGTTTACTGAAACATCTATAGTGAGAGTCACCTTACATCTTTCAGCAAGACAGGATTCATAACTTGCAGCCCACACCTTGAAGTAACTATGAAAAGATTCAACCTTAACCAAAAACATGTCTTTAAATGTTTGCGCAGTTCACTTTCTCATTGTTTAGTTTTTATCGCCATGAAACGGACTCGGTCGAAGACCCGATCTCCAAAAAGAAAAGGTGGAGTGCGACAGCGCCAGGCCGCCAGAGGAGCCGAGGCCTGGGTGCCTGGCACATCTGCCCTAGTCACCTTACTGGTTGAGCTATTTGCTTGGGGGCAAATTTCGCCTCAGTTAGCTCAAAAGATTGCAGCAGCAGCCTATGAGGACGCTGTTAACTTCAAAGCTGAACAAACCAGCTTGGAATTGTTGCAAAATGTGTCTACGATTGGATCGTCGGGTTTCTACGCAAACAAGTGCTATATGGACTTTTTGGAGGTGATCCCATACAAGATCAACATCCCTTCAGTCATGACCTGCCGACTGCCCTTCAAATCGCCTCTGCTCTCATTATCTCAGTGCGTGCTATGGCCACACGAACTGTTTGCAGCCATATACAATTTCTATCCCCAGACCTGGCGAAAAACAATTCTTCCCAGCGCAGAACGTTTGGAGCGATTCTGGAAAACCAACCGTGACCATCCATCGTTTGCAGACTCAGAAGTCCGCCACATTCCTTCATTTCAGAAGTGGGTGGTGCCATTGTCTTTCCACGGGGACGAGGTCCCCATCACTGGGGTAGGTAAGAGCTGGGAACAAATGGTGGTATTTTCGCGGCAAAGCATGGTTGGCGTCGGAGCTACGAATGAACATTCCTATTTGATCTATGCAATGTTTGAAAAACTGCGTGCTGTGCATGCCGACCAACAACAGGACACTCTGGGAAGATTTTTCACCATGCTGGTTTGGAGTCTACGGTGGCTATTGCGAGGACAATGGCCAGACCGTGATGTTGATGGGAAGCTGCATCTGGGTTTGGATTTGTTGTATGCTTTAAAAAACCCCACCCCACAATATATAGTATTGGCGATCCCAAATATGATACTGATACTGATGCGTCATGCTTGGGGAAGTTTGCATTGAATTTGAAACGCATGTCCCAAGGGTTTGGGCCAGTAAAATCCATATATAGTTACAGAACTTGCGAAAAGCCACGAAATGCCCATGACACATCTCAAAGCTTCGAGCTCACACCCTGTATGTGAAATTGGTGACCGTCCTCAGGTACGCCAAACACAGTTTTCAAGGCAAACGAGCCTTGAGCTACCTTGCCGGAGGTTTCCGTGCAGTGCTTTGGTCAGTGCTGGGCGATCTCGATTACCTTTGTAAGATCATGCGCCTACCCCGAAGTACTCTCGAAAAAGGGCCTTGCCCCCTTTGCAAATGCACTGGCAAAGGGCTAACAACATGGCTGGACTTTCGGGACACAGCACCTTGGCGAGGGTTGCAGTGGGATGCCTGTGACTGGCATGCTTGGGAGGATCGGAGTGCTTGTCCTCTCTTCCGGCTTCTCCCACGCTTCAGCCCGTGGGCAATCGCATTGGATTGGATGCATTGCAAGTACCTGGGCCATGATGTGCTAGTGTACGGCAGCGTCCTTTCATTGCTCACCCGGTATGTATGTACTCTTGGGGTCACCAGAGAACAACATCAAGCAGATTTGGCGCGACGTTTGCTCTTTTTACAAAAAAACAAGACGCCGTGCCAGTTTCGATATTTGAACAGGTGTTCGATGTTCGAGCGAAAATCTGGCTATCCGAAGTTGCGCGGCAAGGCCGCAGAAATCAAATACTTTTGTCGCCCAATCCATTATGTACGGCAGAAATATTCAAATCCTCGCCTGGGCGTTCATCGTCAGATAGGCCTTTATCTTCAGATGAATTGCCAAATCGAAGAGATCCTCATTTTGAACCGACAAGAGCTAGCACTTCCAGAGGAGGACGCTAAGAAGTTTCAGCACTTGTGTGCTGCCAGCCTCCTGCTTCTCTCGGACATTGCTGAGCATTTCATCACAGACCAGCTCTTCGGAATTACCCAGAAAGCTCATTTCACCCAGCACATCTCTTTGTTGGCCAAGTTCCTATCACCACGTTTGACGTGGTGTTTCGAAGGAGAAGACGTGCAAAGAAAGATATCGACTCTGGCCAAAACTTGCGTCGGTGGCGAAAGGCCAGGCCAAACTATCGGGAAAATGATGTCCCGTTACCGGCTAGGTCTGCGCCTGCAGTTTGAAAAGCATGGTTGAGAAAAAGGCGTGAGTATGCAAGTCAAAGCACCAGAGTATGCAAGTCGATCGCAGCCATCTTCTATGAAGAGCTTCTGTACCTGCTGAGTTCGTAAATATACCTCGACAGTCCATATATACCCGGAGAGCTTCTACCGTGAGAGTTTCTACCATGAGAGTGTGTATAGCGTGAGAGCTTCTACCAAGAGAGTTTCTGCCATGAGAGTTTCTACCATGAGAGTTTCTACCTGAGTGTCTTTAATGACTTTTGAAAGAGTCGACGCCTTGACTGTTTTCTACAGCTGCTCAGAAATTCAAGGCTCAACCCGTCTCCAACTCTCCTGTGGCTTTCTTTGTTGGTTTTCTCTTTGTTTGTGATGGTCTCTCTGTTTGTTTGTGGCTGTTTTTTGGTGTGTGTGCCATTGCTGTTTTCTGTGCGTTTTTGGGTGTCTCAGTCCTTCAAGTTGAATTTGTTCTTTGTGTCGGGGTTTGTATATGGTTGTCTCTACATAGTAGTAGTGGTACTGGTAGCAGTAGTAGTAGTAGTAGTAGTAGTAGTAGCAGCAGCAGCAGCAGCAGCAGCAGCAGTAGTAGTAGTAGTAGTAGAGTAGTCGCGCAACTAATTGTACAGCATACTACTCTAGTACTAGTACTAGAACTAGTGGTGGTACTAGTAGTAGTAGTAGTAGTAGGAGTAGGAGTAGGAGTAGGAGTAGTAGTAGTAGTAGTAGTAGTAGTAGCTACTACTAGTAGCAGCAGCAGCAGCAGCAGCAGGAGTAGTAGTAGTAGTAGTAGTAGTAGTAGTAGTACTAGTCGCAGTAGCAGTAGCAGTAGTAGCAGTAGCAGTAGTAGCAGTAGCAGTAGTGGTAGTGGTAGTAGTTGTAGTAGTAGTAGTAGTAGTAGTAGTAGTGGTAGTGGTAGTGGTAGTGGTAGTGGTAGTAGTAGGAGGGGTAGGGGTAGCGGTAGTGGTAGTAGCGGTTGCTGTTGTGTTAGAAGTGGAAGTATAGCAGTGGTAGTGGTAGGACTAGTAGAAGAAAGACAAATAGGTAATAGTCAGAGTCATATCATATATATAATATTCTTGGTATAGTAGCACTGTAGTCCGAACAAGCATAACAGCAGTGGCAGCACTAACAGCAAATCAACAACTGGAGAAGTACAAACAGGAACAGGAACAGGTAGAAGTAGAGCCAGAGTGATGAGACAGAGTCAGAGACCGCTATTTACTATGGTAGCGCTATGCAATCGCCAAAGATGACCAACAACGGCGATCGGTGCTACCAAAAAGGCAAGGTAGTTTGGACGTAGTTTCGAAGTAGTTCAAGAGCAGTTTGAAGGAAGTTTAGAGGAAGTTTTGATTTGTCTTCGTCAGATTCATTTGACTTAGACAAATTGGAACTTGACTATTGGTTAGATTTCGCGTTGTCTTAGACAGCGGAAAGGCAACCTTTGTGTTTAAACTATTAGTTAAATTTTTCCTTTGTCTCAGACAAGGAAAAGACTATTTTTTCTAATTATTATATAGTTAGATTTTCGTGAAATAGAGATTAGACAACTTTTTGTCTAACCGGGTCTATTGGGCAGCGAAAGTGCAACCAGGGGAGGCTCGTTTTGGACCAGAAC